CGGACGCCGATTTTTCATATTAGATCATTTCTTGCTTAGGCATTAAATGGGGTTACTTAATGTTATGTTGTGACTTGGAAGACAAAACAATCATACAGACATGAAATAAGTGTGACGCCTGGAAGCAATGTTGTTATTTTTCTTCATCTTGCCTAATGGGGGCAATCAAATTTTCCGGGGAAGGAAGGGCGTTCAGGAAAAAAAATCTATTAAGTAACTTGTTATGCAGTAATTTTGAGAAAAGAAAAATTCCCACACCTACACGGACGCATTAATATACCAAATAGTAGAAAGGAGCGTAGCTACTTTTCTTGATCTTAATTTAAGAGCAAAGTGTTAATTTCATTGCGTTCAATATGCGCAAATAAAGCTTTTACTTCCTCTTACCAGTGGGTTTACGCGCTGTATAGTAGTGGCTGTTGTTTTGTCTACTTGTGGGTAGATGACAAGATAAAAATCGATAAAACTTTCGCAGGTGCGCAGACAAATATGCGGATCGGATTTCAAAGTGAAGATGCAAATTTGTCAGTATGAGGAAGAGGTCTCTGCTCACATGGAATTTATGATTAAGAAGCAGAACGAAACTGACCAAGGAATGTCTCGAGAAGGAAGCTTTATTCAAAACAGTTCTTGATTTTCTATTAGAGGCAAAAAACGTGCTTACGAAACCCACGAAATAGAATTCATCATGTTTAGATCGTTGATTACTTGACTATACGACTAGAAAATTGCACGGCGTTGTGTTTGATTAAAATTCTGAGAGTCCTTTTGACATAAAGTCTTCGATTAAACATTACTTTTTGGACATCTTATTACTCAAACAAGATATTTACCGGGCCCTGGAATCTTCAAAATGTGGCTGGGCCTCGCTTGAGGTCCGAAAGATCGTTTTTCATTTTACAGCCTCAATTCGCATCGCTACAGAAACGGAAAATCCGACCTGAAAATATCGAAAGTCGGCCGCGCGGACGCTAATTTTTCATATTAGATCATTTCTTGTGAAGGCATAAAGTGGGGTTCAGTTATGTTATGTAGTAAACAAAACAGTCACACAGACATAAACTAAGTGTGATGCCTGGAAGCAATGTTGTTATTTTTCTTCATCTTGCCTAATGAGGGCAATCAAATTTTCCAGGGAAGGAAGGGCGTTCAGGAAAAAAAGCCATTAAATAACTTGTTATGCAGTAATTTCGTGAAAAGAAAAATTCCTACACCTACACGGACGCATAAATATACTAAATAGTAGAAAGGAGCGTAGCTACTTTTCTTGATCTTAATTTAAGAGCAAACTGTTAATTTCATTGCGTCCGATATGCGCAAATAAAGCTTGCACTTCCTCTTACAAGTGGGTATTACGCACTGTACAGTAGTGGCTGTTGTTTTGTCTACTTGGGGGTAGATAAAAAGATATAAATCGATAAAATTTTCGCAGGTGCGGAGACACATATGCGAATCGGATTTCAAAGTGAAGATGCAAATTTGTCAGTATGAGGTCTCTGCGCACATGGAATTTATAAGTAAGAAGCAGAACGAAACTGACCAAGGAATGTCTCGAGAAGGAAGCGTCATTCAAAATAGCTCTTGATTTTCTTCTAGAGGCGAAAAACGTGCTTACGAAACCCACGAAATAGAATTGGTTCTTTACCCGGTCAGTATTTTCCCATCTCTGCCCACGGGCCACGGTAACGCTTTCGTGAGTCGCCAAGTACATCCCAACTTTCGTTGTCATTTTTCATAAATATACCTCGTTTTCCGGTTGGGCAGTATTTTTGAGCAAACACGTCGGTCACTACCTCAAGCCGATAAATAACTTATGAATCCTCTCT